GAATGAGGAAGCCGAAATCCCGAACTTTCCGGCTAGTTCGTTGAAAGTTCGTTCATGTGGAGGGAGCCTTGTGGTTTGACTCCTTTGTCTGACGTCACGTTGGCACCGATGCGCGGTGGAGGGCGGGGGTCGGAGAAATGTCAACTGACGCAGAAGCAGGTGTCATGCATGTTCCTCTGTATCCAGTCCATGTAGCGACTCACACGGGTGTAGACACCGGGATATCCAGGCCGGCCACAGCCCACTCCCCAAGAGACGATACCTGTAAGGCGAACACAATGACGTCAGTCAGGTCAACATCTGTAATAGAATCAAAAGGAGAAGAGAGAAGAAATTAGGAAAGAAGGAGGTAAATAGTAGGAAAAGAGGAGAAAGAAAGTACATCAGTACAAGGCAGTAAAATTTAGGAAGTTAGGGGAAATGGAGAAAAAGGAGGAACAGGAGTGAAATGAAGATGAAAAATCGAGAAAAGGGGAAAGGAGAAAAGGGGGAAAAGGAGGAAACAAGGAGGCAGATGGAGAAGAGATGAAAACAAATGGGAGAGCCTGAGGGTAGAAGTAAAGAAGATAAAACATTCTCATGTCCTCGCTGTATTGAATATCAATCGATTTATCGATATCTCGATGTTTGACATGCTTATTTTTGTGAGCGTATAATTTTCTGGAAAAACAACCCCGATTCTAGTTTTCTCTATAAAATTCTTCGCTTTTTTGATGCGACATGTTTCCTGCCTCTTTTTCATGTCGACGGTTTTTTTTCTAAGTTAGGATGCGGGGGTTCGCTAATCGAAATAAAAGACAGAAATTTTTCTTCACAAATCTTCTCTCATTCAATGTAATCAGATATTTAAAGTTAATTGAATGGTTTAGTGGTTATGTTTCAACCCATCGATCATGTATAGCTCAACTGAGGCAACGAGGAAAATTACTATAGGTGAGGAAATGTCAACACCACTATTATTACCATAAAATATATTAACTATGTACTCACCAACGAGTTCAAATTTGTCAACGCCAGTGCTTATGATCAAAGGACCACCGCTGTCACCCTGGAAATGCATGTATTAAGACATACAATATTTTAAAAAAGAAATGGCCAAAAATAAATTGATGTTTATTCAAAGTTTTTAATCAAGGTCTTCCCATCTTCCAATGAAGAGAAAATAGATTTATGAGGTTTGGTAAATAGATTTATAAACTTTGCTTTATGATCAATTTCATTATCAGAAATATCAATAATTACTGTGCTTGCCATCAGAACTCCCTGGCTAATCGGGCAGCATGCCATTTTTCTCTGTCGTGTAATATTGGCTGAAATAATCTGTATCATCCTACTAATTAAACACTATGTTTTCTCTCATAACTGGCATGAAAGAAAAATGGTTAACGTTGGTTTTATTCACATGTAAATGAACTGTCCCGACAGTTGTTTTGAGAGTCAATAAAAATGCGTAAAATTACTATCGTGCAGTGAAACCTTATTCAGCGAGCGTTCCGGTGTGGTGGTTGGAATTCCTTCAATTGGATAGAATACCGCACGCTATACATGTCTCCGTAAATCATCAACGATCAAGAAGCAATGAAGCTTTCTTTTGTTAATTTGAGATTATTGGCTCTCGGCTTAGTAGGTCATAACTTTCTACAATTATTCTACATCAGGATTGCACGCCCTGCATCATGAACTGGTGTGGAAACTGAAGCTTTTCGAATAGATATTTTTGAAATTTTGAAGAGGAAACATGTTTCGTGGTGCTCTAATGGGGCTGTGTATACACCCGAAGGAATTAAGCTTAAAGTTACTTTTTTCACAGGTAAAATTTGATGACATTCGGCGGGAAAGCCAAAAAATTTACAGCTTTCAATGCTCGTTTTCACCAAAAAAATTGTTGTCTCGGACAAAACCAAATATTCAGATGAATTCTCGTCTACTGTCACCCGTGAGAATTAGTTTTGAACTAAATTCCTCAGGGTGTCTACGGCTCCATTTATACCCTATTTAGAGGTCCATTGCGTAGATTGGGAAATAAAGTGAGTGTCAGACTTTCCCGATGTCCTTATTATGATTTTTGAGTCATTTTCCATACGGCAAAATTCTTCATTTTACCTGAAGAAGTTTGCAACTAGCCCTTTCGAATAAAATCTTTGGCCTCTTTAGTTTTAAATCAGCGAACTTGAAGAGTAACTCGTGTCTTCGGTGCTCACCTGACAAGAATCCTGTTTCCCGACACCGGCGCAAAGCATATTGGTTGTGATTCTGGTTGGTCGGTACTTGGTTGCTCTGCATTGGTTGTTGGTTAGAATAGGAACTTGGACTTCTTGGGCCACGGCTGACAGCATGCCTCCTTCGGACGTTCGACCCCAGCCCACCACTGTGCCTTTCTTCCCGGCAGGATCATCATCTGCTTTTAAAAAATAATTAAATAATAAAAATAATTAAATATTGAGGAATAATTAAACAAAAAAATTAAATAATGGACCACTAGATAAGGTACGAATTTCAGCATTCTGATACATGTTTCTTAACCAAAA